CTGCTTTGTTGAAGATTAATTGACCACATAGTTGTGGGTTCATTTCTGGGTTTTCTATTCTGTTCCATTAAACTATATGTCTATTTTTGTGCCAGTAACAGACTGTCTTGATCACTATGGCTTTGTAATATAACTTGAAGTCAGGAATTGTGATGTCTCCAGCTTTGCTTCTCTTTCAAGGTTGCTTTTGCTATTTGGGGTCTTTCGTGGTTCCAAACAAATTTTAGGATTGTTTGTTCTAGCTCTGTGAAAAATGCTATGGGTATTTTGATAGGAATTGCATTAAATCTGTAGATTGCTTTGAGTAATATAGATATTTTAACAATATTTGTTCTTCCAATTCTAAATGTGAGACAGGAAACCATTAAAATCCTAGAGGAGAACACAGGGAGTAACCTCTATGACATCAGCTGTAGCAACTTCTTACTGGATATGTCTCTTGAGGGAAGGGAAACAAAAGCAAAAATAAACTATGGGGACTTCATCAAAATAAAAAGCTTCTGCATAGTGAAGGAAACAATCAACAAAACTAAAAGGTAACCTTTGGAATGGGAGAGAATATTTGCAAATGACATATCAGATAAAGGGTTAGTATCCAAAATATATAAAGAACTTATAAGACTCAACACCCAAAAAGACAAATAATCCAGTTAACAAATTGGCAAAAGACATGAATACATATTTTTCCAAAGACACATAAAAACATGCTCAACACCACTCATCATCAGGGAAATGCAAATCAAAACTACAATGAGATATCACCTCACACCTGCCAGGACAGCTAAAATTAACACCACAGGAAACAAAAAGTGTTGGCAAGGAACCCTCTTGCACTGTTGGTGGGAATGCAAACTGGTGCAGCCACTCTGGAAAATGGTATGGAGGTTTCTGAAAAAGTTAAAAATAGAAATACCTTATGATCCAGCAATTGCACTACTAGGTATTTACCCAAAGAATACAAAAATACTAATTCAAAGGGATACATGCACTCTGATTATCAACAAATAGCCAAATTATGGAAAAAGCCTAAATGTTGATTGACTGATGAATGGATAAAGAAGATGTAGTAGAGGAGATGGATGACAGACTGACAGAGAATGATCAATAGGTAGATGATAGATGATAGATAATTGATAGATGATAGATAGATAGAAATATATACAATGGGATATTTCTCAGCCATGAAAAAGAATGAAATCTTGCCATGTACAATGACATGGATGGAGCTAGACACTATTATGCTAAGCAAAATAAGTCTGTCAGAGAAATATGATATCAACAAACAAAACAATCATGGGTGGGGGGAGAGAGAAAACCAAGAAACAGACTCTTAACTATACAGAACAAACTGTTACCAGAGGGGAGGTGGATGTGGGGATGGGTAAAATTAACTCAAAATAGATCATAGATTTAAATGTAAAATGCAAAAATATAAAACTTCTAGAAGATAAAATAGGAGAAAATCTAGATTACATTAGGTTTGGAGATGACTTTTAGATACAACAAAAGCACAATCTATGAAAGAAAAAATGAATAATTTCAATTTCATTAAAATTAAAAACTTCCTGGGGTGCCTGGGTGGCTCAGTTGTTAAGCGTCTGCCTTCGGCTCAGGTCATGATCCCAGGATCCTGGGATTGAGCCCCACATCGGACTCCCTGCTCAGCAGGAAGCCTGCTTCTCCCTCTCCCACTCCCCCTTCTTCTGTTCCCTCTCTCATTGTCTCTCTCTGTGTGTCAAATAAATAAATAAAATCTTAAAAAAATTAAATTAAATTAAATTAAATTAGAAACTTCGATTCTACAAAAGGTGCCATTAGGAGAATGAAAACAGAATCCACAGACTGAGAGAAAATCTTTGTAATTATCTGGCAAAGGGCTTATGTCCACAATATACAAAGAACACTTAAAACTCAACAATAATAAAGCAAATAACCCAATTAAAAATGGGTAAAATATCTGAGCAAATACCTCACCAAAGATGGCAAAAAAAAAAAAAATGAAAAAATTCTCAACATCAGATATTACAAATTAAAACAATGAGATACCACTAAACAACTTTTAGAACGGCTAAAATCCAAAATTCTGACAACACCAAATGTTAACAAAGGTATAGAGCAACAGGGATTCTCATTCTCATTGTTGGTAAGAAAACGAAATGATGCAGCCCCTTTGCAAAACAGTTTGGCAGTTTCTTACAAAACTAAACATATATTTACTATATGACCCAGCAATTGCATTCCTTGGTATTCACCCAAATCAGTTGAAAAACATGTCTACACGAAAAACTTAAGTTTGCAGCAGCTTTTCTGTAATTGCAAAAAATTAGAAGCAACCAAGATGTCTTTCAATAAATAAATTGATTAAACAAACTATGATGCATCCACACAATGGATTATTATTTAGTAATAAAAAGAAATTAGCTATAAAACCCAAAAATCATTAAGCAGGAAACTTGCTTATTGCATATTGTTAAGTAAAAGAAAGACTGTATGAATCCAAATACATAACATTCTTGGAAGGGCAATACTACAGAGATATCAAAAAGATCAATAATTGCCAAGGACTCAGATGGATGGAGGGACAAATGAATAGGTAGAACATGGGATTCAAAACAGTGAAACTCTTCTGCATGATACTATAATGGTGGATACATAACATTTTACATTTCTCAAAACCTATAGAACTCTGTTGCACAAAGATTGAACCCTATGTAAACTATGGAGTTTAGGTAATAATATATCAATATTGGTTCATCAATTTTAACATAGGTAGCACATTAATGCAAAATGTTAAAACTTTGTGCAGGGAGTAGGAGGCAGAGAATGGATATATGGAAACTCTGTACTTCCTGCTCAATTTTTCTATAAACCTAAAACTGCTGTAAAAAAAATTAATTCCATGGGTGGCTCAGTCAGTTAAGCATCTGCTTTTGGCTCAGGTCATGATCCCAGGGTCCTGGGATCGAGCCCCACATCGGGCTCCCTGCTCAGTGGGGAGCCTGCTTCTCCCCCTGCCTGCCGCTCCCCCTGCATGTGCGCTCTCGTTCTCTCTCTCTCTGACAAATAAGTAATTTTTTAAAAGAAAAGTTAATTCCACTAATTATGAAATGAAGCAACATCAAAATTAAATGGTGGTATAAAAACAGAGTGGAATACCAAGGTAGCTTTTGTCTTGATGATTAGGCTATGCTATCAGAATTTAGAGAATGGGAAGAGAAGAGAATAAAGTTTGTCTGGATAAGATTAAAAAAAAAAGGGTACTTTTAACAGAAAAAGAGTGTATACAAGTAAAACTGAACAATATTGAGACAGTAGATCTATACCAAAAGAGTCCAGGGACTGAGGCAGCTGCCATGGAAAAAGATAGTTCATGGATACAGAGAATAGATTGGTGGCTCCCATATGTAGGGGGCGGAGGTGGGGTGGGCAAAATGGGTGACGGAGGTCAAAAGATACAAACTCCCAGTTATAAAATAAGTAAGTCATGGAATGGAATGTACACACAGGATGGCATCTATAGTTAGTAATGCTATATTGCATATTTGAAAGTTGCTAAGAGGGTAGACCTTAAAAGTTCTCATCACAAGAAAAAAATTCTTGTACAGTGTGGTGATAGATGTTAACTAGACTTACTGTGATGATCATTTTGCAATATATACAAATATCATACACTTGAAATTAATGTCATGTTGTATGTCAATTAAACCTCAAATAAATGAATGAAGAAAGAGACAGAAAGTAACAGACAGACAAAAAGAAAGAGAATATTTTGAAATCATCACTAACATTTCTACTATCATATTTTATTCTTTTGGCTTGGTTGGAGGATATGTTCCATCAGCCCATATGCGGGCATAAAGACTTCTGGTTTTGTCCATGATAGAGCATCAGGGACTAGAATTATCCTTTCACTTTAAACCAATTAAAATCTGGATGAAAATATGTGAAAAAGCAACTCAGACATTGGAAAACAAAAGGTGCAAGACACTAATCTCTGACAGAAGGAAAACAAAGAAACAGAGCCCTTTGATGACCCCATCTTACTTCCTGAATTTTCCAGGCCACAGCAAAAGGAAGGGGGACCCATACAGAGTCTATTGTTCTCCTGGAGTTCAGAGACAAGGTTTAGAGGTTTGGAAGCCCAAAGAAGCTAGAATTCAAAGGGCACAGCATTAGAGAGAAGGTAGGTGCACAGATAGAGAGAGAGAGCTCCGTAGATGTGCAGAGGGTTTCCTCTGAGGTAGAAAGAAGTTTTCACTCTCCACTCCAAAGCTCTAGATAATTTTCTCTCCATCTAGTCATTCAGGACTCTCTTGGGTCAAAGGTATCTACAGAACTTGGGAGTGCTGTAGCATCAAGCTGCCCCTGGCTTAAATATGGCAACATTAGGGTTTAAAGCTGAAGTTGAAAGAGGACAGGATTCCCATCAACCTTTTCCAACCAAATCTTATTTTCCACTTCTAAATTGTATTCTATAACATACATTACATGATTGCTTCAAAATTCTTTCCAGTACTAAGACATAAGCAAGGTAGTTTCTCCCTTCTGCTGATAAGTAGTCAGAAGTTTAACATACTAGTTCTAGCAGCTCTTTATATTAATGAATTGACAGGCACTCAGCTGTTGTCAAGGCATTAGTGCATATGAGATGATCTATAAGTCATAGAAAAAAAAATCTACAAATGACCTCTTAAATTTATCACTGTTCATCTCAAAGTCCTAGCACTCCTGAAACATTTCAGTAGCATATTCCAATCAAAACTAAAAATACTTCAATCCAAGTGATAGCAAGGTATTCCTCAAAAATTAATCTATTTTTTGTAGCACGTTGCCTTAACTAGGAATTTCAATCCTTGCTTGATAGCCTGCTCAACTGTATGACTCCAAACCCCAAGGAATCTATGTTATTGCCATAATAACTTTAAATTATAGAAAATTATAAAAATTAATGCATTTGGCATGTTATTAACACAATAATGCTTAAACAAGTAGAAACTTACGTGGATCAGTTGCAGAGACATCTATAAATTCTTCAGTTGAGTGGGTTTTTATGAATTCTGAAATAATAGTAAGTTTGTCATATGTTTCAAATATCAATTATATGTATTGAATTTAAATTTCATAGTTTTTTTTTTAAATAACATTAAAGAGAAAGAAAACTCTAAGAAAAACAACAGAGCCATCAACACTGGAGATCCCCCCAGTCAGGCAACACATGGTAATATCTGAATGAATGTGTATCAACTAAGTGATATGAACTCATCATTTTCTCAACAACACTTATTTTTCCTCTTCTAGTCTCTTAACATTACCATGATTTAATCTCCCTTCCTTTCATATCCAGTCACCAAGTTTTGCCCATTTTACCAGTAAATTTTCTCAAATCTGTCCCTTTTCTTCTTATTTGTGCTCTAATGTAAGCACTTACCACACACCTAAAACAGAGCAATAACTTCCCTTTCCTATTCCTAATCTCCAAATGTAGCTTCTACAAATGGCCAGAATAATCTGTCTACAATTGAATCCAATGCCACTTCCCTACAAAAAGTCTTCAGTGATTCCCTATTATATATGAAAACAAAATTCCTTAGCACACCATCCAATCCCTCTGATTGGCCCTTTCTTACCATATCCCTACTTACTGCTGCACATTCTAATACCCTTCTACTTGTAATTTCCTACTCATGCTGTTTGTCCATGCTACATCCTCTTTGTAAAATAGCAGATATCTCCCTTCTTCACTTGACTAAATTTTATTCATTCTTTAAGGTTGCATAAAATCTTCCCAACTTCCTTGGGTTGAACAAATCGGCTATCTGTGGACTCACTGCAAATTACACATAAATTTTATCATGTGTTACACTATATATTAAAGTGATGCATAATGTGCTTGTGTCCTTACTAAGTTATGTATTTTATGGTGGCTAACAACCATGGTTTATTTGTTTTGTTCAACTCCCAGACTCTGAAACATAAGAACTTTTACTGAAAATATTAAACTCACTGCTGAATATCTTTTTAAATTTGCTATTGTATAATTTTATGGCTATAAATTTTTAAACTCTAAGTCTCAAAATGTTAATGTAATGCAGAAAACCCTATAAATGCTAAACATGTGTAAAATATCATCACCTTCGATTATCTGCTGTACAGCTTCGTAACTATGTACTGCTCCTGGTAAATTTTCACTATCCCTGTTAAAATTTTAATAAGTACAACATTTATTTATTATCAAAGAATAAGAGTTAAGAAATAGAATATATGCTCTAGATATATGTAGTTTATAAAATAAAATTTAACATAATCTTTAACCTTTATTCAGACACTAAGGTAAATTAGTATAATTGCAAGCAAATAAGTATAAAAGTCACACTATGTAATTCTATGAATGCTATATATTCCATGAATATAATTAGGTATACCAACTATATTAACAACAAAAATAGCAAAAGTAAATTGGGTAGAAGCATGAGATTTAATAGTGTAATTGTTAAGAACACAAGTTCTAGAGTCAAACTGCTTGGCTCAAAACTTGTTTCACGCAGTTACTAACTTATGATTTGGGGTAAGTTACTTAACCCCTCTGACTTACAGTTTCTTCATCTATTAAAATTCGGGTATTAGAGTACATATCTCATAAAGTAGTGGTAAAGATCCAATACATGTAAAGTTGCAAGGAAAATACCTGTACACATCAGACAATTAAATTTCAGGTATTACTATTAATATATGGTCTGAAACTAATTTTGTGCCTCACAATAGATAACTCAAATGATTCTATCTGAGCCTCTGAACTAAAGCTCCAGTTATGTAGTGCTTACTGGAGCCAACTCAAGCGCCCCTCCTTTTATTCCTTTAAATCTAGTCATTGACAGAGATATAAATAAAGTAATTGCATAATAAACAGTAGTCCCTCCCAATTACTCTAACACTGTAAAATAAATGGGTTTAGTATATGTCTAAGGCAAAAAATGGCTCTATGTAAATTTTTACTTAGATAAGGTACTATACCAGATATAGTTGGCAATAACAGAATAATAGGGGAACAAATGAGTTGATTTAATTCAGATACTCAAAAAGTTATACATATTTATTTACTGTTTATATGTGATAGGAAATATGTAGATGTGTGTGACTAGTTCTGAACTTGAGGAAATAGTCTTTCCAGGAAGACTTACACATAAATCATTAATTCATAATACAAAATTACTAGGTACAGGCATACATTATTTTATTGTGTTTCACTTTATTGCACTTCAAAGACTGCATTTATTACAAATCGGTTTGTGGCAACTCTGCTCACAGAAAGTCTATCGATGCCATTTTTCTGACAGCATCTGTTCACCTTGTGTCTCTGTGTCATATTTTGGTACTTCTCACTATATTTTAAGGTTTTCATTATTATTATATTTGTTATGGTTATCTGTGATCACTGATATTTGATGTTCCCATTGGGATTGTTTGGGAGTACCATAAACCATGCTCATATATGGCAGCAAATTTAACAATAGCTGTTGTGTGTGTTCTGACTGCTCCAACTAGCTTGTCCCCCACCTCCTTCCCTCTCCTTGGGCCTTCCTATTCCCTGAAACACAACAGTACTGACATTAGGCCAGTTAATAACTTTATAATGGCCTCTCAGTGTTCAAGCTAAAGGAAAAGTCTCATGTCTCTTACTTTAAATTAAAAACTAGAAATGATTAAGGTTAGTGAGGAAAGTACATCAAAAACCAAGATAGGCTGAAAGCTAGACCTCTTGTACCAGTTATCGAAGTTCTTAATGCAAAGGAAAAGTTCTTGAAGGAAATTAAAAGTAGTACTCCAGTGAATACACAAATGATAAGAAAGCAAAATAGTTTTATTGCTGATCCAGAGAAACGTTTACTGGTCTAGATAGATCAAACCAGCCATATTATTCACTTAAGCCAAAGCATAATTCAGAGCAAAGCCCTAACTCTTCAATTCTATGAATGCTGAGAAAGGTAAGGAAGCTTCAGAAGAAAAGTCTGGAACTAACAGAGGTTGGTTCATGAGATTTAAGGAAAAGAAGCCATCTGCATAACATAAAAGCACAGGGTGGAGCAGCATGTGCTCATGCAGAAGCTGCGACAACTTATCCAGATTTAGCTAGGATAATTAATTAAGGTGGCTACACTAAATGACAGATTTTCAATGTAGGCAAAACAGTCTTTTATTGGAAGAAGATGGCACCTAGTACTTTCATAGCTAAAGAGAATCAATGCCTGGCTTCAAAGCTTCAAACAGGCTGATTCTCTTGTTAGGGACTAATGCAGATGGTGACTTCAAGCTAAGCCAATGCCCATTTACCATTTTGAAAATCCTAGGTACCCTAAGAATGATGCTAGAGAGGTTGGAAGATGACGGAAGAGAAGGAGAACCCTAGGTTCACCTGGTCCCATGAATACAACTAGATAACAATCAAATCATCCTAAATACCCCAGAAATCAACCAGAAGACTGGTGGAACAAACTATAGCTAAATGTAGAGCAGAGGCCACATCGAAGAAGGTAGGAAGTAAGGAGATATGGTTTGGGAGAAAAACGGATTATGGCCCTGTGGTGGGTAGGGAGCTGCAGCCATAGAGAAGGGCAAGAGACAGACTAGAGCTCACATGGAAGACGAATCCCAATAGCAATTGCCTTGAAAAGCAAGAGGGGCTGAATTTCTTGAATTCTTGCAACCAGTGGGGCTTGAAGCCTGGAATTTTAAAGATCAATGGGTTTGGCTGGGAGAGACCCTGGAGGGCACTGGGGTTACTCTTGGAGAAAAGGCAGGGTAAACAGCCTGTGAACATACAGCATGGAAACAGTGATCTGAAGGGTGCCTGGAGCACAGAGCGGGGAGGTTATATGCTCATCTCCCACCATGTCCCGGACAGGCAGTGTTCACAGAGAGACCCCTCCAGGAACAAAAGAACTCGCAGGCACCATGTCCAAAACCTTCGGGATACTGCGGAAACAGTTCTAAGAGGCAAGTTTATAAAGGCCAATCTCAACAACAACAACAAAAATCTCAAATAAACAACCTAACCTTACATCTACAGGAGCTAGAAAAAGAACAACAAAACCCAAAATCAGCAGAAGGAAGGAAATAATAAAAATTAGAGCAGAACTAAATGATACCAAAACTTGAGTCTCTCTCTGAGGATCTAGACCCTGATGCTGAAGCTCACTCCATCTCAGGACTGTGACTGGGATCTCCAAGATTTGGACCCCATATCTTCAAGTTTCCACCTTGATCCGGACATCATTAACCCTGTCCCTCTGGTTCTTTTTTTTTTCTTTAAGATTTTAATTATTTGAAAGACAGAGAAAGCAGGAGCAGGGGGAGGGATTCAGGGAGAGGGAGAGGAGAGCTGACTCCCCTGCTATGCATGGAGCCCCAGCGGGGCTGATGCCAGGACTCTGAAATTATGATCTAAGCCAAGGTCAGATGCTTAACCAATTGAGCCAATCAGGCGCCCTGTTCCCCCGGTTCTTGACTCAGTGTGCACCTCGGCCCCACCAAAGCCCCACACCTCACCCCCCCTCATTCAGGCTCACTGCTACACCCAAGGTCCTGGCACTAGCCCCATGGTGCTCCCTGCACCTGCCAGCCCTCTCCAACCCTTCTCCTGACCGGATTATGGTCCAGCCTTCTGCCGCTGCTCTGGACTGAGCCAGCACTGCCACACCCACAGCGGCAAGAAGCCAGACTGCTGCCTGACTTGCAGTAAGTCGTCCGGCCATGGTGCCGCGCTGGCACAGCACCACGGCATCCACACCGGCCGGTGGCCCGACCCGAACACCATCTGCAGCAAAGCCTTCAGTTGGCACTCCACACGGCTGAAGCAGTGCGGCGGCCACAGCCCCAAGAAGCCGCAGCACTGCCCGGTGTGTGTCAAGGTGTTCGGCGCGGCTTGCTGCTAGCGCAGCACCTGCGCATGCACAGCAGCCTTCGGGCGTGCAAGTGCCCAGTGTGCACCAAGGGCTCAGGCAGGGCTCAGTGCTGTTGAAGCACCTGCGAGTGCACACCGGCGAGCGGCCATTCCCATGCCTGCAATGCGGCAAGGCCTTTGGTCAGAGCTCAGCACCTTGGCAATACCAATGCTTGGAGGCGCGCGCGAGCGCAGGCGCGGGCACGTGCGCGCGCGCGCGCGCACACACACACACACACACACACAGACACACACGGACACACGGCAGAGCGCCCCTACCGCTGTCCCCACTGCCACAAGGCCTTCGGCCAGAGCTCCAACCTGCTGCATCACTTGCCAATCCACACCACCAAACGGTCCTATGCCTGTCCCCACTCTCCAAGGCCTTTGGTGGGAGAGCTCCTCCCTGCTGCAGCACCTGCATATGCATTCCGAGGTGTGCCCCCTACCGCTGTCAGCTCCGTGGCAAGGCTTTCTGACAAGCCTCCAGCCTCACCACGCACAAGTGGGTGTATGAGGGTGCAGCTGCAGCTGCCACCACAGGCCAGGGCCTCAACCCTGCTTCAGTGCTGAGGCCAGAGCAGGTCTCCCTCCTGGGTCCTGATGCTCTCTCTTCCTGCCTCTGTCCTGGGCCTTAGCCCTGAACCCAGCTCTGGCCTTGGTCCTGACCCTAACTCTGTGCAGGGCTCCCTCCCTAATCCCACTCCAAAGCTGTTTCTGGCTCTGAATCTACCCTCACTCCTAATTCTGTCATATCTTCTGACCCTAAGCCTCGTCACAAGGCCAATCCTGACTTGTGGCCAGCCTTGACCATGGATCTCGTCCCTACCCTATCAGGATCCTGTGCCCAACTCTGAGTCTCACCCTGAACCCTGCTCTCCCACCCATGACACTGTCAGTCCAGCCCTCCCTACTGGCTAGAGTCCTGAGTGACTGTAGGAGCAAGGGACACTGCTGGGGCCCCATGGCTGAAGGACTCCCAACACTCAAGGGGCCTGGGGAAGTTGGGTGTCATGTAGTTCAGTAATATCCTCCCTCTGCCTCTTGGGGAAAAAAAAAAAAAGGATAGAGAATCTAAAAAACCAAAACCAAACAAAAAACAGGTAAATAAAACCAAGAGGAGCTGGTTCTTTGAAAAAATAAAATTTGTGAGTCTCTAGCCAGACCCATCAAAAAAACAAAGAGAAAGGACCCAAACAAAATTACAAATGAAAGAGGACAAATAGCAACCAACACCACAGAAACACCAACAACCGTAAGAGAATATTATGAAAAACTATATGCCAACAAATTGGGCAGCCTAGAAGAAATGGATAAATTCCTAGAAACATATAAACTACCAAAATTGAAGCAGGAAGAAATAGAAAATTTGAATAGACCAATTACCAGCAAGGAGATTGAATCAGTAATCAAAACTCCCAAAGAACAAAAGTCCAGGACCAGACAACTTCATAGGTGAATCCTACCAAACATTTAGAGTTAATACATACTCTTCTCAAACTATTCCAAAAAATAAAAAAAGGAAGTAAAACCTCCAAATCCATTCTATGATGCCAGTATTACCCTAACACCAAAACTAGATAAAGACACCACTAAAAAAGAGAACTACAGGCCAATATCTTTGATGAACACAGAAGCAAAAATCCTCAACAAAATACTAGCAAACCAAATGCAACAATACATTAAAAAAAATCATTCACTACAATCAAGTGGGATTTATTCCTGGGTTGCATGGGTGGTTTAATATTTGCAAATCAGTCAACACGATACATGACATCAGTAAGAGAAAGGATAAAGAAACCATATGATCCTTTCAATAGATGAGGAAAAAGCATTTGACAAAGTACAACATCCATTCATGACAAAAGCCCTCAACAAAGTAGGTTTAGAGGGATCATACCTCAACATAATAAAGGTCATATATGAAAAACCCACAGCAAATATCATACTCAATGGGGAAAAACTGAGAGTTTTCCCTCTAAGGTCAGGAACAAGACAGGGATGTCTATTCTCACCAGTTTTATTCAACATAGTACTAGAAGACCTAGCCACAGCAATCAGACAATAAAAAGAAATAAAAGGCATCAAAATTGGAGAAGAAGTAAATGACATGTAGACAAGTAGATGACATGATACTCTAAATAGAAAACCCTAAAGATTCCACCAATAAAACTGCTAGAACTAATAAATTAATTCAGTAAACTCACAGCATACAAAATCACTATGCAGAAATTTATTGCACTTCTATACCCTAATAATGAAGCAGCAGAAAAAGAACTTAATAAAACATTCCCATTTACAATTGCACCAAAAATAACAAGATAACTAAGAATAAACCTAACCAAAGAGGTGAAAGACCTATACTCTGAAAACTGTGAAACACTAATGAAGAAACTGAAAATACAAAGAAATGGAAAGACATCCCATGCCCATAGATTGGAACAACAAATATTGCTAAAACGTCTATACTACCCAAAGCAATCTACAGATTTAATGCAATTCCTAAAAAAACACTAATAGCATTTTTCACAGAGCCAGAACAAAAAATCCTAAAATTTATGTGGAATGATCCTGAAATGATCCTGAATTTCCAAAGCAATTTTGAAAAAGAAAAGCAAAGGTGGGGGTATCACAATTCACACTTCAAGTTATATTACAAAGCTACAGTAATCAAAAAGTAGATGTTGGCACAAAAATAGACATATAGATCAATAGGAAAGAATAGAAAACTCAGAAATGAACCCATGGTTATATGGTCAATTAATCTTCAACAAAGCAGGGAAGAATATCCAATGGGAAAAAGTCAGTCTCTTCAACAAATGGTGTTGGGAAAACTGCAGAGCAACATGCAAATGATTGAAAATGGACCACTTTTGTAAAGCATACACAAAATAAATTCAAAATGGATTAAAGACCTATACATGAGACCTGAAACCATAAAAATCCTAGAAGAGAACATAGGCAGTAATGTCTCTGACATTGGCCATAGCAACTTCTTATTAGGTAGCTCTGCTGAGGCAAGGGAAACAAAAACAACTATTGGGACTACATCAAAAAGCTTCCGCACAGCGAAGGAAACAATCAACAAAACTAAAAGGCAAGAGATGGAATGGGAGAAGATATTTGCAAATGACATATCTGATAAAGGGCTAGTATCCAAAATATATATAAAGAACTGATATAAATCAACACCAGAAAAAAAACCCAAATAATCCAATTTACAAAGGGGCAGAAGACAAGAACAGACATTTTTCCAAAGAAGGCATCTAGATGGCCAACAGACACATAAAAGCATGCTCAACATCACTCAGCATCAGGGAAATACAAATCAAAACTACAGCGAGATATCATATCACACGTGTTAGAATGGCTAAATGTAACAACACAAGGAACAACAGCTGTTGGTGAGGATGTGGAAAAAAAGGAACACTCTTGCACTGTAGGTGGGAATGCAAACTGGTGCAGCTATAGTAGAAGACAGTATGGAGGTTCATCAAAAAGTTAAAAATAGAACTATTCTATGATCCAGTAATCCCACTACTGGATATTTACCCCCCAAAAATATCAAAAAAATTCAAAAGCATACACACCAATGTTTATAGAGCATTATTTACAATAACCAAATTATGGAAGCAGCACAAGTATCCATCAACTGATGAATGGATAAAGAAGAAGTGGTACATATACACAATGGAATATTACTCAGCCACCAAAAAGAATGAGATCTTGCCATTTGCAATAACATGGATGGAGCTAGAGAATATAATGCTAATTGAAATAAGTCACTTAGCAGAAAGACAAATACCATATGATTTCACTTACATGTGGATTAAAGAAACAAAACAAACAGGCAAAAGTGGAAAAAAAGAGAGAGACAAATTAAGAAACAGATTCTTAATTACAGAGAACAAACTGATGGTTACCAGAGGGGAGGAGGATGGGAGGTTGGGTGAAAGAGGTGATGGGATTAAGGTGTGCACCTGTTGTGATGAACACCGGGTGATGTATCAACAATTCTGTTGAATCACTATATAATCACTAAATAAAAAATAACAAAAGTTGAGTAAATCAGAGATCTAATGTACAACATAGTGTTTACAGTTAACAATACTGTTGTATACTTGAAATTTGCTAAGAGAGTGGATCTGGAGTGATCTCACCACAAAAAAAAAAAAAAGTAACTGTGAGGTGGAATAAAAGTCATGAAAGGTATTCTGTGATGATAATTTATTCATCTATTTAATTTTAAGGCAGCTAAACCTCAAATATCAAAAGTGAGTGTCAACAGTTAATAGGAGTATCATTGTAGTCATAATTTGAATCTTCCATCTGTCAAAAAAAAAAGGCTTTTCTCAACTAAAAAATAGGAAATTATTCTTTGGAACATATCCCTGTCCCTTTGAAATTTTTAAAAATGCTGTTCATAAACAATTATTTAATTATATCCTAGTTTCCTATTTATTATAGAAGCTACATAATCAAACTGAGAGAAGATTTTAAACCCAGATATTCAAAGCCAGCCATGCCCAATAGAACTTTCTAACAACCACCACATTGGTTACTAGGCAGTTGAAATGTGGCTCATGTGACAGCAGAATTGATTTTTTAATTAAATTGAACTCAGTTTTAATTTTAGTAGCCACATGTGACTAGTGACTACTGATTGGACAGTGCCATTTCAAACTATTAAAAATTTCAAATAAGAGCAAGCTGACTAGACTATTTGATTTGATTTAGAAACTCTATGTGCAGTATAATATCTGAACCATTATCTTACATGCATTACTAAGTATATACCAATTCATTGTTTTGAGTTCTATTAACTCTTATATTTTACTTACTTGGCTTTAGACAATGCGGTCCTCAAGGAGTATTTAGACTGTTGTTTAAGGTGATTTTTCAGTACTTCTAGTGCTTGCACCTGCTCTACTACTTGCGCAACGTTTAAGGTGGCTCTTCTGTCAGGTGCTGGAAACTCTGCCTCTAAAAAAGTTTGATCTTTACTTATCTAAAATGATAACATTAGCCAGTTACTTAGGAAATACCCATTTTGCTCCTATACCTCAAAGAAATTTCATCATTTACCATATTTAAATAATTTTTATAATACTCTTATCTATAGCTATAATCAAATACTGATATTTTATAAATATAATTTTACAAGTAATTACCTAGCAACAGAATTACAGCTAAGTGTTGACTTTTACATGTCAAAACTCAATCCAATCTTCTGTTTAATATCTAAATATATAAGAATTTTAAGCAAGTTCAATAATAATTGAAACAGGATCAGTCTTACCTATGATAAATATGGAAAGACAGTAATTTGCTCTCAAAAGCAATACCTTCTACTAGTAACTCTCAGAAGTTAATATATAAAAGTCTATGAAACTGGCATTCCTTGGTCTGTCTGGGAAAAACTGAGACCCATTTGGGCGTCTCAAGACTTTTAGAATAGACCAAGCTACAGAATAATGAGCAATCAGGAGAATCAGTAAGATACACAGAATAATATGATAGACCATAACTGATATCCTAGGTATTAAGTCTGTTTAAAGAAAGCTGAGCAAGATGAGTGCCTCCCCACTAACAAAAAAAAAAAAAAAAAAAAAAAAAAAAAGGCACAATGAAAGAAACACAGAAACAGCCAATATGTGGAGACATAAACAAGCAGAGTAGCAATTGAGACAAAAAAAAAAAAAAAATTTTTTTTTTACAAAACAGCAGAGATCTACTTTTGTATATATACACTTCCAACCCTAATGATGGGAGTGGAAGCTAAAAAAAAAAAGAAGAAGAAGAAGAAGTAGTCGTCAAGACATAGGCCTAAAACCTAGCAAAGAGAAATTCTAGCAATGGGATTTAAAAGAGACTTCATTTTAGTAATGCCTACTTGAAATGGAATTAGGATATAATAGCAGGAAGTATATACTGGGCAATGAACTAGAAGTCTGAAATTGAGGGATGCAGAACAGGTGGAAGGGAAATAGGAGATGTATGGGAACTCTATGGACAAAGGCGTGATGCCAAAAAGAGGACATAATTTGGTATATCAGATATATTGCCAAATCATAAATGGAGTCTAAAAGTGATGTAGCCAGTTATCAATTTATTGCCTCTCATCTAAAAATCCATTCTTCATTGTCCTGCTTATAACAGTGGAACATTTCTCTCTTGACAGGTATCATGCTAAACTTTATTGATAGAAGGTCCTAGCCACTACAGAAAGAAGCAGCTTTCTTCCTAACTCTGTTATCTCTTTCTGCTTAATCCTAGGACACTGCATAATATACCTAGTAGAGCACACTCCAGAAAGTTTCAACAGCACCACCCCCATAGGTGTCTTCCTCACAAGGTCCCTGGCATGACTCATTCCCTTGGGCAGCTTCTCCCAGAACTTCTTAGCAAAATCTACCAGTGCAGAACCTCCCTCTGGGAAGCTTTCTAGCATACCACCCTTGTAGGCATCAAGAGGTATAGTACCTCCCTGGAAGATGGCTTTTCCCAGCACCACAGAGGACGGCTTCCCAATGTACTGCCATCATGGGCAGCTTCCCAGTAAATCCCAGTTCCCACCAGCATGGCACCCCAGCAAACTTCTCTGCCACTCAGTGATGACAGCTGCTCCTTCTTCATGGGTGCAGACCTTAGCCCTGGGTGAGGAAGAGGGTAAGGAGAGGGGTATTAAGATTTGTTCCTTCCTTATTTATCCCTGGGCTCCAAGGTTGGTTCAACATCCGCAAATCAATCAATCTGATACAATACATTAACAAAAGAAAGAACAAGAATCATATGATCCTCTCAATAGATGCAGAAAAAGCATTTGACAAAGTACAGCATCCTTTCTTGATCAAAACTCTTCAGAGTATAGGGATAGGGGGTACATACCTCAATATCATAAAAGCCATCTATGAAAAACCTACAGCAAATATTATTCTCAATGGGGAAAAACTGAGAGCTTTCCCCCTAAGGTCAGGAACGCGGCAGGGATGTCCACTATCACCACTGCTATTCAACATAGTATTGGAAGTCCTAGCCACAGCAATCAGACAACAAAAAGAAATCAAAGGCATCCAAATTGGCAAAGAAGAAGTCAAACTCTCACTCTTTGCAGATGATATGATACTTTATGTGGAAAACCCAAAAGACTCCACCCCAAAACGGCTAGAACTCATACAGGAATTCAGTAAAGTGGCAGGATATAAAATCAATGCACAGAAGTCAGTGGCTTTCCTATACACCAACAACAAGACAGAAGAAAGAGAAATTAAGGAGTCCATCCCATTTACAATTGCACCCAAAACCATAAGATACCTAGGAATAAATCTAACCAAAGAGACAAAGGATCTATACTCAGAAAACTATAAAATATTCATGAAAGAAATTGAGGAAGACACAAAGAAATGGAAAAACATTCCATGCTCATGGATTGGAAGAACAAATATTGTGAAGATGTCAATGCTACCTAGAGCAATCTACACATTCAATGCAATCCCCATCAAAATACCATCTACTTTTTTCAAAGAAATGGAACAAATAATCCTAAAATTTGTATGGAACCAGAAAAGACCCCGCATAGCCAGAGGAATATTGAAAAAGAAAAGCAGAGCCGGCGGCATCACAATTCCGGACTTCAAGCTCTATTACAAAGCTGTCATCATCAAGACGGCATGGTACTGGCACAAAAACAGACACATAGATCAGTGGAACAGAATAGAGAGCCCAGAAATGGACCCTCAACTCTATGGTCAACTCATCTTTGACAAAGCAGGAAAGAATGTCCAATGGAACAAAGACAGTCTCTTCAACAAATGGTGTTGGGAAAATTGGATAGCCACATGCAGAAGAATGAAACTGGACCATTTCCTTACACCACACACAAAAATAGACTCCAAATGGTTGAAAGACCTCAATGTGAGACAGGAATCCATCAAAATCCTAAAGGAGAACACAGGCAGCAACCTCTTTGACCTCAGCCGAAGCAACTTCTTCCTAGAAACATCGCCAAAGGCAAGGGAAGCAAGGGCAAAAATGAACTATTGGGACTTCATCAAGATAAAAAGCTTTTGCACAGCAAAGGAAACAGTCAACAAAACCAAAAGACAACCGACAGAATGGGAGAAGATATTTGCAAATGACATATCAGATAAAGGGCTAGTATCCAAAATTTATAAAGAACTCATCAAACTCAACACCCAAAGAACAAAGAATCCAATCAAGAAATGGGCAGAAGACATGAACAGACATTTTTCCAAAGAAGACATCCAAATGGCCAACAGACACATGAAAAAGTGCTCAATATCGCTCAGCATCAGGGAAATCCAAATCAAAACCTCAATGAGATACCACCTCACACCAGTCAGAATGGCTAAAATTAACAAGTCAGGAAACGACAGATGTTGGCGGGGATGCGGAGAAAGGGGAACCCTCCTACACTGTTGGTGGGAATGCAAGCTGGTGCAGCCACTCTGGAAAACTGTATGGAGGTTCCTCAAAAAGTTGAAAATAGAGCTACCATATGATCCAGCAATTGCACTACTGGGTATTTACCCCAAAGATACAAAAGTAGGGATCCGAAGGGGTACGTGCACCCCGATGTTTATAGCAGCAATGTCCACAATAGCCAAACTGTGGAAAGAGCCAAGATGTCCATCGACAGATGACTGGATAAAGAAGAAGTGGTATATATATACAATGGAATATTATGCAGCCATCAAAAGGAATGAGATCTTGCCATTTGCAATGACGTGGATGGAACTGGAGGGTATTATGTTGAGTGAAATAAGTCAAAAAGAGAAAGACATGTATCATATGATCTCACTGATATGAGGAATTCTTAATCGCAGGAATCAAACTGAGGGTTGTTGGAGTGGGGGGTGGGGTGGAGGGATGGGGTGACTGGGTGATAGACACTGGGGAGGCTATGTGCTCTGGTAAGCGCTGTGAATTGTGCAAGACTGTTGAATCTCAGATCTGTACCTCTGAAACAAATAATGCAATATATGTTAAGAAAAAAAAAAAAGAAGAAGAAGAAGGTAGCAGGAGGGGAAGAATGAAGCGGGGGAAATCGGAGGGGTAGACGAACCATGAGAGACGATGGACTCTGAAAAACAAACAGGGCTCTAGAGGGGAGGGGGGTGGGAGGATGGGTCAGCCTGGTGGTGGGTATTGAGGAGGGCACATTCTGCATGGAGCACTGGGTGTTGTGCACAAACAATGAATCATGGAACAATTCATCTAAAACTAATGATGTAATGTATGGGGATTAACATAAGAATAAAAAAAAAAAAAAGATTTGTTCCTTCCTTAAGTACTATGCTTCCATCCCATCATTAGAGGCTGCTCTTTATACTTTCTATCCTGTATTCTTTAGAGTTGTCTTTATCACTTATTCTCCTGTTATAATAAATAATTCTTTATATTAAACTTTTCCTATTCAGATTACTGTGTAGTTTTTATCTTTTGATCAGTCCCTAAGTGATACATTATATTTCCCATTAGGAATTCAATTTAAACTTAAGTCCTGTCTGGGAGAAGAGATGATGTCACAGAACTAAAGGAATATGGAATAGACAATGATTTTATAGGCTATAAGATTTCATCAAAGAGAAATACTGGGCACAGGTTCCAGCAGAACAACTCTGAAGCTCATAGGCTACATGCTTATCCTACATTTCTCTGCTATGGCTCACCATACATTATGAAGGCTTCCACATGTATCTTGTTAATGCAACAAGACCACAAGCATATAAACCAGCATGTGCTAACAATAAAATGTGTCAGCAATAGATATGAGATTATTCCACAATTGTCAAATGTTCGTGTACATAATAATCCTCTAAAAATCCTATTAAAAAGTGGATTCCTAACCTATATACACACAAGAAAACTTTAATTCAGTAAGTCTGACTTGGAGTTCTGAAATGTGCATTTGTAACAGGTATCTTGGGTGATATTTAAACATAATCCATCAAATATATTTTAAGAAACACTCATCAAAAGGCAGAAGATAATACATTTTGGCAATGTATCTGATACACCAAATTAAGTGATTATTCAAAAGAATTAATTATGGATATAAAAACTAAAAAATTTAGAATTCCAGATCAGAAGTTTAGTTGTATACTGAAGATTCCTCTTGATGAACATGAATGCATAAATCAGTATTTCAGGAATACCAGAAATTATGGTAACTGGCACTAAGAGAATAGATACAGAGTAGATACAGAGAAAAATAGACACATATGACAGCTATTTAGGTTATAAAATCAAAAGGACTCAGGAATGTACTGAATATTAGGAAATTGAGTTGTCAAGGTAAATCACCACACTTCTGGTTTACCCAAATGGATAAATACTACTACCATTCACTGAGATAGGGAATACTGGAGGAGGTATAAGTTTAGGGGTAAAAAATTCTTGGCTTTGACTCTTTGGGCTTGAGGTGAAATAGTCTAGAGGAGTTCAGAGGACAGTTTTGAGCAAGAGGTGTATATTTCTAAATTATCAGTATAAAGGTAATACTTAAATAGAAAAACTGGTTGAGGTTGCCTAGGGGGAGAAGTTCAGAGTAAAGAAAAAAAAGGAAGGCACAGAATGAAATCTCGAAGCACTCCAATATTTACTGGTTAGAAAAGGAAGGTGACTCTACAAAGTAAACAGCTAAAGGGGTAAGACAATAGCCAGGAAAGTGTAATTCACAAAAGCCAAAGAAATAGTGTTTTAAAAATGAGGAAATGATCAACAGTGTCAACTATGGCTGAGGTAAAGAAAATTGCCTATTGAATTTCACAGTATAAAAATTGCAGAGAACCATACAGAATGTTTTCTTTGTTATGGAGAGAGAATCCGGTCTGGGTAGGCTGAGAATGCTTTGGAAGTAAGAAGAGTATATACAATAAATTGATATCAAAAAAAATTAGTTCTGAACCAGTAAAGTATAGCCCTTAGCTGAACTGTTAAATTTTTATAGAAAATCCATAGACAATTCCAATTGTTTTGATAGCCCTAGTTGGCCCAGATTAACCTCCTCACTAAGTGCCAGTTTTTATAAAAAAAAAAAAAAAAAAAAAAAAACTCAACTAGTTTCATTGTTCCTAAACTGTCTGTAAGGCTTTTCTCTCCTTTTTAAAAATTTTTAAAAAAGATTTTATTTATTTATTTATTTATTTATTTATTTATTTATTTATTTATTTGAGAGAGAGAACAGGAGCAAGGAGAGGGGCAGAGGGAGAGGGAGAAGCAGGTTCCCTGCTGAGTGGGGAGCCGGACAAGGGTTGGATCCCAGAACCTTGAGATCATCACCTGAGCTGAAGGCAGACACTTAATGAACTGAGCCACCCAGGTGCCCCTTCTCTCCTTTCTTTTATAAATCTTGGGTTTTGCCTTTATTCTCCAACAATAATCTAACAACTATTTTCCTCGTGATTTGCATACAAAATAGTTTTTAAAAGTTGATTATGAACGGCAAAAGAGAAACAGGCCTGTAACTGTAGAGATTGTGGCATCAAATGAGAAAGATATGAGCATATTTAAAACCTGAAAGGAATGACACAATTTATTAGGAAAAGTTTAATATACAAGAATGATTAATCAAATTTCTTAAGATCCAAAACAAGTAAAAGAATGAGTTTTATGTAGGAAGAGGAATAATATCTGTTTAACAAAGGAAAGGAGTGTAGAATGAGCATGGATATAAATAAATTTTTATTTGATAGCAGAAAATGAAGGAGTTCTAGCTGATGGCTTGTATTTTCAAGCATTTTAAGTGACTGGCTGACAGTGAAAATGAAAATGGGACAGAGGGAATGTGGGTTTGAGATGATAGATGAAAAGGATTGAAATTCATTTTGGAAATACAAAGGAATTGCCAGGCAGTATTTGGAATAATTATTTCTGAATAACTGTGTCACTTCATCAGTGTTTCACAGCTAAGCTAAAGGCCCAAAGAGTAAATAATTGCATTTATTCAAGGTTAAATTTTGTTAAATGTGTGCAATGAAAAAAGCAAGAGGTAAAGGAGAGTAGGAAGTTAAGAAATTCACTGTTATTAAGTACATATTCTCCAAGCTTAAAAGAAAAATGAGTAAAAAACCTACAGGAAGGTTAAGAAATGAATGCAGTAGTGGTCTTGATAAAGTCAAAGAGTGGCCAGAATAGTATTTAAATAATAACTGATAAGATAGAAATTTGTAGCTCAAGAATAAGTTGCCTGAATTAGTGATTTTTAAAATAGAGCAATTTGGTTAATGATAAGGTCTAGAGTATGACAGGAAGTGAGGGTCAAAGGTAAAGAAAGACACTAGTTCTGGGGAGATGAGTCAAGGAACTGAGAAGCTAGGATTTGGGGTGGGTCTTCACACTGACAGGACTAAGAATAAAAAGAGGAAAGTGAGACAAATCCATGAATAAAATAGAATAAAAAGAAGTTGGTAGATGAAAGTAAGAAGGCAGAAGGCAAGCTAGACTGTTCAAGCTGCAAAGTATGCATTTTACAAGAGGGGAGAACAGTGGACTTCACCTCAGTTCTCCATCTGTGGAAAGATAATGATCAATCTACCATAGTCAAAGAAGAACTACTTAACACTCTTCCAATGTCAACCATATCTATCCTAAAGCAAATAGTATACAGTCCATAAAAGTCTACTCTGGAGCCAAAGGTAAAATAATAAGAGGGTACTAGGAGATAGTTACAATTTCTATCTTTACTTTTTAATTTTACATCCCAAATAAATGAACCTATTTAATTTAAAGTACCTGGGATTCAAAAGTGTTTAATTGGACTAAACCATAAGTATAACCAAGGGAGAACAAGAATCATTCTATAAATCACTGAGGCTACCCTAGAAATCATTCTGCTATATTAACAGCATAAAGTCTTTCCCAAAATAGAATTAAAAACCCTTAAGGTTAGAGACCACTAGCTTTCAAAATGGTCATAAAACATCTGAAAATCTAAAGTACAAAAAAGAAATCATTAAAATAACATTAAGTTTAAAGAAAACCAATATATAATTTTATAAGTAAGTAGATTATATTATACATGCTTTTTAATTTTTTTTAATTTTTTTTTAAAGATTTTATTTCTTTATTTGACAGAGACAGACACAGCGAGAGAGGGAACACAAGCAGGGGGAGTGGGACAGGGAGAAGCAGGCTTCCCACAGAGCAGGGAGCCCAATGCGGGGCTCGATCCCAGGACCGGGGATCATGACCTGAGCGGAAGGCAGACGCTTAACGACTGAGCCACCCAGGCACCCCTATACATGCTTTTTTAAATACAGGAGAAATGTTTAAATTGATAAGTTTTGTCTTGTCACTTACTCTTCTATGTAAATTAGGAAAGAATAATTTAATTTTAGGAGAAACAATGTGTCAAACTCAGAGAATTCCAGATACATGCAGGAATGTAGTGTGTAATCACTGAGAAACATTTTGTTCTACCCATTTATTCCTTCTCTATCTAAATGAAAAGATTATAAACAATGATTATTCAAAATTTTAATATCAATTTAATTCACAATTAAGAAATGTTATACTTACCTCTTCCATCTGATTGACCTGTCGCTGAAACCACTTTAAAAAAAAAAAGGAATACTTATTGTCAAGTTATTCAAACATATAGATACATGAGTGCATTTGTGTGTGTATGTGTGTGTGTGTGTGTGTGTGTGTTGTGTCTTCATCTATCAAATGTTAGCCCTGAACCAAACATCATTATCCTAGGGTTCAGAATGGGCCTAATGCAACATACAACTCAAACATAACATTTTTAAATATGTATAGTAGCAAGTTTGGGAATTCTTTTTACTTCCTCAAAACTTAGAAACCTCTTCTTCATTAATATGTATTTCTGTATTAAATGTTAGTAGGTTTAAACTGCAATATATTGAACATACCTTAAAAAGAGATTCCAAAATCTGGAAAATAAAGTTTTAATTAAAACATTTAAAAAATTCTTCACAGTGTATGATGTAATAAGTCTCTATAATTCTCAATCAGAAAAATGCACAAATTACAACTATAACTCTATAATCCAAAATCATAATGTTTATAATTACAGATATAGTTTTTAGTATATCTTGCATAGACAATTCTAGAAAAATTTCCACCTTTATAGATCTATATTAGGATACCCCAAAATAATTCACATATATGATTTCATATATTTTCTTAATACAGATAAGGAAAAAATTAAGATTCCTCTTGGAAGAGATTTTTTTCATATAGCAGAGAATATAGTAATGAAAAGCATTATCATAAGAACATTATCTCTTCAATAGGACTTTGCTCTGATAATGGGCCTAAAAATCAAGATATAAAATATTATACTACTACTTCATATTTTTTTTAAAGATTTTTTATTTATTTATTTGAGAGAGAGAGAATGAGAGAGAGTGAGTACATGAGAGGGGGGAGGGTCAGAGGGAGAAGCAGGCTCCCTGCCGAGCAGGGAGCCTGATGCGGGACTCGATCCCGGGACTCCAGGATCATGACCTGAACTGAAGGCAGTCGCTTAACCAACTGAGCCACCCAGGCACCCCACTACTTGATATTTTTGACTGAAAATGCAAGGAACAGGTTTGGGAGATTGTGACAGAAACTGAATATCCAAAATGAATCATACAATCCAAAATACCAATATTTAACACTTAGAAAATGTAATGTTAAAATGATTATGTTTGCCACACAAAATAAAAGCCCATTCTATCATATCCAGATAAGAGTTTTTAATCACTTTGGTAAGGAAAAATATTACTACATTCATTCAGGCAGTAAAAAAAAAGTTACTTAACTAAAAAATCAGGCTAGTCTAAAATTCCTCTTCTGTCACACTAACTCTAAATCAATAGTTCAAAAATTGTGGTCCCACAATCAAAAGCATCAGCATCACCCAAACAAAGATATTCATTGGCAATGTAAATTCCTAGGCCCTACCCCAGTCAACGGAATCAAAAACTCTGGGAGTAGGGCCAGCAATTTGTATTTTAACTAGCCCTCCAATTGATTCCACTGCACGCTAAAGTTTGAGAATCACTGTGCTAAGTGATAAGAAATCAGAAATCTAAGCAAAAAGGGCTGAGATCATCAAGAAAACATACCAAAGTAAATAAATATCCAAGTCTGAAGGAAAATATTTTCAGCTACATAAGGATTTAGAAACTAATGTTCACTGAGGCATACTACCTTGTAATAAACTCATTCTTCCCACTATCAAAAGAGATTCTAAGGTTCTCAAAACCTCTTTTCCTATCTCAGAAGATGATGGGAAACCATCATATATCAATTCATCCACTCATTAGAGCCAGAGTTCAACAACTAAACTACTAAAAGCCTGGAGAACAAAGGCTTCCTCAACTACTGAGACATCAGTTCTAGTAATGTTAAATCTAGTATATGTGCTGCTGAAGTGAGCACTAGTAATGTTAAATCTAGAACATTACTGATAAAAGTGGAAACAGACCAGAACTGAGAAAATCAATTTTAGGCAAACACTAAATAGAAAGAGAAAATTCTATGAAAATATGGAAGAATATATATAAAGTTCCCCAGGAAAATATTAAACTTCCAACTCTAATTTTAAAGATATTATCATGTAAGTGTGAAGCCAAGATAAAACTATTTTCAGAAATTCAAAGGCTCAGAAATGTTTTCACCACACATTCTAACCTAGCAAACAAAACCAAAATTTATTCTTAGAAAAGTAAACACATGAAAAAACTATAGGCAAAGTAACCAATAAATACCCTCCTCTTATTGTTTCAACTTTTTATTTAAATTCCAATCAGTTAGCATATAGGGTGATATTAGTTTCATGAGTAGAATTCAGTGATTCATCACGAACATATAACACCCAGTGCTCATCACAAGTGCCCTCCTTAATACCCATCACCCATTTAACCCATCCCCCGCCCACCGCCCCTCCAGTAACCCTCAGTTTGTTCTCTACAGTTAAGAATCTGTTTTAAGGGCGCCTGGGTGGCTCAGATGGTTGAATGTCTGCCTTCGGCTCAGGTCATGATCCCAGGGTCCTGGGATCGAGTCCCGCATCGGGCTCTCTGCTCCTTGGGAGCCTGCTTCTCCCTCTGCCTCTCTCTCTCTCTGTCTCTCATGAATAAATAAATAAAAATCTTTAAAAAAAAAAAAAAAGAATCTGTTTTAAGGTTTACCTCTTTTTTCCCCTATGTTCATCTGTTTCATTTCTTAAATTCCACATATGAGTAAAATCATACGGTATTTGTCTTTCTCTGACTCACTTATTTCACTTAGCATAATACACTCTAGCTCCATCCACGTTGTTGCAAATGACAAGATTTCACTATTTTTAATGACGGAGTAACATCCCATTGTGTATATATACCACGACTTCTTTATGCATTCATCAGTAAATGGATATTTGGGCTCTTTCCATAATTTGGCTATTGTTGATAATGCTGCTGTAACATAAACATCAGGGTACATGTCTCCCCCACTTTGGATTAATATTTTTTTATTCTTTGAATAAATACCAAGTAGTGCAATTGTTAGATCGTAGGGTAGTTTTATTTTTAACTTTCTGATGAACTTCCATACTGTTTTGCAGAGAGGCTGCACCAGTCTGCATTCCCACCAACAGTGTAAGAGGGTTCTCCTTTCTCCACATCCTCACCAACATCTGTTGTTTCCTGTGTTGTTAATTTTAGCCATTCTGACAGGTGTGAGGTGATATTCATTGTAGTTTTAATTTGTATTTCCCTGATGATAAGTGATGTTGAGCATTTTTTCATGTGTCTGTTAGCCATCTGAGTAAATACCCCACTCTTAAAAAGAATTGTGGCTAATGGGGCTGGCACTCAATGCCACTGTCATAAAAGACTTCCTAATGAGAAGATGGCATAATATTTTTTAAAGTGAAATAATAAGCTGTAACCAAAATTCCAGATAGGCATATTGTGTCACTGAAGCCGAGAGAAGTCCTGAAGGACTGGCAGCTTTTGCCTTTGTTTCATCTAGCTCAAAACTCTCTCAAGGCAAAAAACAAACAAAGCAAAACAAAAACAAAAGAACAAAAACCCAGCTAAGTAGAGGGCATTCCTCAACATTGAAAGGCAAATAAACAAGCTACAGCTCCCTGAGAAAAAGATTGCCTTTGTGACAAATAATATACATGTCAACAGCCTAAAAGAAAAAGCTGGGTAAAGAGTTACTTTGGAAACTAGGGATTTTGAAAAGATCCCATATATAAGGGGGAATCTAGTAAGCCATGCACTTGCCCAGGCCAAGACTCATGCTCAGAAAAATATCTGAATGAACATTAAACTTCCACCTTTGGCTTATCTTTATCTCAGAGCAAGCAGAAAATGAAGGCTAACTCAAGATTTGTAAACAGCCTGGCTAAGCTTTGAAGGAGTGCCCCAACACAGAGCCAATCTTAAAGGAACAGGAAAATTTTTTTCTCCTTTTCTTCTTTATTTATTTATTTTTTGTGTGGCTCAAGGCATTTAAGGAAATCTTTCTCAAATCCACCAGCTGACCACAAGCAACAGGAACAGAGGCCTGAGAGACAAAATATTTAATCAAGGAATACAGACTTTCAAAATAAATAGACTTCTGGTTTCCAATCCAGCATTCAAGGAGCCTGGATCTTTTGTTTATCTTTTTAAAGAACCAGCTCTTGATCTTTTACTTTATTAAAAGTCTTTTTATTTTTTTGTGTTCTGATCTTTATTAGCTTTTCTTCCTTCTATTAACCTTGGGCTTTGTTCTTTTTCTGGTTCATTTAGGTGTCAGGTTAGATTGCTTATTTGAACTTTCTCTTGTTTCTTGAGGTAGGCCTGTGTTGCTATGTATCTCTCTATTAAGATAAACACAATTGATAACCCTTAGCCAAATTCATCAAGGAAGAAAAGAAAAAAACTCAAATAAATAAATTCAGAAAGAAAAGAGAAGAATCAACTTACACCACAGAAATAGAACAGAAAATAAGAGAATACTATGAAAAATTATATGTCAGCAAACTGGACAACCTAGAAGAAATGAATAAAATCCTAGAAATATACAATCTTCCAAAACTGAATCAGGAAGAGACAGAAAATCTGAAGACCAATTACTACTAATGAAATTGAATTGGTAATCAAAAACTTCCCAAAAATAAAAGTCCAGGACCAGATGGATTCATAGGTGAATTCTGACACCCATTTAAAGAAGAGTTACTACCTATTCTCAAACTATTCCAAAAAATCAGAAGAAAAAGGAAAGTTTCCAAATTCATTGTACAAGGCCAGCATTACCCTAATACCAAAATCAGACAAAGACACCACAAAAAAAGAAAACTATAGGCCAATACCATTGATGAACATAGATGTAAAAATCCTTAACAAAATATAGGCAAACCACGTTCAACAATACATTAAAAGGATCATTCACTACGATCAAGAGGGATTTATTCTGGGGCGCCTCGGTGGCTCAGATGGTTAAGTGTCTGACTTTGGCTCAGGTCATGATCTCAGGGTCCTGGGATCAAGCCCAGTGTTAGGCTCCTTGCTCAGCAGGGAGTATGCTTGTCCCTCTCCCTTGCTCTCTGCCCCTCCCCCACTCATGTGTGCTCTCTCTGTCTCTCAAATAAATAAAATCTTTTTTTAAAAAAGAGAGATTTATCCTGAGGGGGCAAGGATGGTTTAATATTCACAAATCAATGTGATACATCATATCAACAAAAAAGATTAAAAATCATATGATCATCTCAATAAATGCAGAAACAGCATTTGACATAATTCAACAGCCATTCTTGATAAAAATTCTCAAGAAAGTGGGTTTAGCAGAAACATACATCAACATAACAAAAGCCATATTAAAAAAACACACAGCTAACATCATATCCAATGGGGAAAAAAAATAGAGCTTTCCCCCTAAGGTCAGGAATAAGACAGGATGTCTACTC